ATGCTCCACGACCAAACTATCCAGCCCAGAGAACAAAAATCCATAAATAAGAACACTGCAAAACTTCTTGTTCGTCTACCGAACGACACCTAGCTGTATGCTATCTGAGCAGAAACCCCCGGCAGAGATCCTCATGGGAAGGAAATTGAGGACGATCCACAATCTGATGTTTCCGAGAATCACACCATCGCCATCACAGACCACGTCCCAGAAACCGCCGTCGTACAGAGTTGGATGTCCGATGTTCTCTCGTGACTACAGACCAAATCATGGTCCCTGTACTGAAGCACGTGTGGTTAGAAAACTATCCCAATTTATGTACGAGTTTGAGGTGGGAACAGACAGGTGGACTAGACACCGAAACCAGCTACGTAAGCGTTTAGCCCCAGCTCTCCCATCGGCAGAAAAAAATCTCCCGCTAGATATACTGTTAGATACCTTTAATCTGCTCGTAGTCCCAACACATGAAGAAGCACAACGACAAATCGATCTACGATCCAGAAGATGGTCAATAAGCCAACGGCCAGTGGACATCAAGAATGTTCATTATTAAAAATCGTAGATCTTGCGGATGTGAAATCCCTAAAAATCACTTGGTAAATAACTTATTTCGCTCAAAAAGCGATCTTTTCACCTTCGAGTAGTATTTCCCACATGGGAAAATCTTAAAATCTATTGGTCCGTTGTATCTTTTAGTACGCTATTTTACAATGCTTCCCAAGGACAATTTTATGCCGTATATAAACGTTTGATTTCTTCCTGATGAGATTGCATGTGCAAGTATAAACAATGAGTGAATAGCTTACACCACTAATGTATCCACCAATATTTATGATGTCTGGGTCATTCGGATTAGCCATAATTACACAATATCGATAAGACTTGTTCTCTTAACAAATACACTTTCTTAACTAGTCTGCATTCTTTTTGGAATCAGTGAAGATGACTGACTGAATCCTATATGAAAACTTCCAATCAGTGATCAAACACTATTATTTCAACATAGAATCGAACTATACAGAATATTTCATAATCGTCTGGTTTCTCTCTCTTCCAAATACTAACCTTCGTAGAAATATGCTGATTATGTACTGCATATACATATCGGTTGGCCGTATCTTGATGTGACAGAATCATTACTGTAGTGTTCAACATAGAAAAAGCAAGATTTGCTGTCTGTCTATTTCTTCCATAATTGGTAATCCCAATGAATACGTCTGTCTTTACGTTTATGGATTACTAGATGAAAATGATGTACTGATAGCATTTTCAGTACCTTAAAAAAACGTTTCAAGAAATTACAAATCTGTCAAATGTTGAGTTCGAGTAGAAGCGTGTTAAGATTCTAGGGATCCAGGAGTTCTGTGTGACGATAAATATTTGCAGCTCTGGTGAATATCTTTCACGATCGTGTGTAGTCTGAGCGAGAAAACGCATTCTTACACTTCCCATTGACAATCACCACAATATCATCAGTGTCTATCTCATTGTAGTGAACATTATTGTTAGCACATGAAAATGAAGCGAGATTAGCCATTAGTTTGAAAATGTGATTTTCATTCAATCGATTTTCCTTCTAAGTCAGTATGAATAATGCTCAGTATAGAAATGATTTGCACTGAATAATCGATTGTGGATTTTCTGTTTGCTTGACTGTTGTTGACTATGTCATTCACTGGTACAATTTGCCGACGTTCTTTTGTTCAATAAGAATTGTTCACTCTGATAATTATTGGGACTAATTATAACACAATTCAATCTGTAAATGAGAGGATGAACTCGGATGCAATTGATTGGTCGATGCACTTGCATAACAAATCGCTCAAAAAGCGATCTTTTCACCTTCGAGTAGTATTTCCCACATGGGAAAATCTTAAAATCTATTGGTCCGTTGTATCTTTTAGTACGCTATTTTACAATGCTTCCCAAGGACAATTTTATGCCGTATATAAACGTTTGATTTCTTCCTGATGAGATTGCATGTGCAAGTATAAACAATGAGTGAATAGCTTACACCACTAATGTATCCACCAATATTTATGATGTCTGGGTCATTCGGATTAGCCATAATTACACAATATCGATAAGACTTGTTCTCTTAACAAATACACTTTCTTAACTAGTCTGCATTCTTTTTGGAATCAGTGAAGATGACTGACTGAATCCTATATGAAAACTTCCAATCAGTGATCAAACACTATTATTTCAACATAGAATCGAACTATACAGAATATTTCATAATCGTCTGGTTTCTCTCTCTTCCAAATACTAACCTTCGTAGAAATATGCTGATTATGTACTGCATATACATATCGGTTGGCCGTATCTTGATGTGACAGAATCATTACTGTAGTGTTCAACATAGAAAAAGCAAGATTTGCTGTCTGTCTATTTCTTCCATAATTGGTAATCCCAATGAATACGTCTGTCTTTACGTTTATGGATTACTAGATGAAAATGATGTACTGATAGCATTTTCAGTACCTTAAAAAAACGTTTCAAGAAATTACAAATCTGTCAAATGTTGAGTTCGAGTAGAAGCGTGTTAAGATTCTAGGGATCCAGGAGTTCTGTGTGACGATAAATATTTGCAGCTCTGGTGAATATCTTTCACGATCGTGTGTAGTCTGAGCGAGAAAACGCATTCTTACACTTCCCATTGACAATCACCACAATATCATCAGTGTCTATCTCATTGTAGTGAACATTATTGTTAGCACATGAAAATGAAGCGAGATTAGCCATTAGTTTGAAAATGTGATTTTCATTCAATCGATTTTCCTTCTAAGTCAGTATGAATAATGCTCAGTATAGAAATGATTTGCACTGAATAATCGATTGTGGATTTTCTGTTTGCTTGACTGTTGTTGACTATGTCATTCACTGGTACAATTTGCCGACGTTCTTTTGTTCAATAAGAATTGTTCACTCTGATAATTATTGGGACTAATTATAACACAATTCAATCTGTAAATGAGAGGATGAACTCGGATGCAATTGATTGGTCGATGCACTTGCATAACAAATCGCTCAAAAAGCGATCTTTTCACCTTCGAGTAGTATTTCCCACATGGGAAAATCTTAAAATCTATTGGTCCGTTGTATCTTTTAGTACGCTATTTTACAATGCTTCCCAAGGACAATTTTATGCCGTATATAAACGTTTGATTTCTTCCTGATGAGATTGCATGTGCAAGTATAAACAATGAGTGAATAGCTTACACCACTAATGTATCCACCAATATTTATGATGTCTGGGTCATTCGGATTAGCCATAATTACACAATATCGATAAGACTTGTTCTCTTAACAAATACACTTTCTTAACTAGTCTGCATTCTTTTTGGAATCAGTGAAGATGACTGACTGAATCCTATATGAAAACTTACAATCAGTGATCAAACACTATTATTTCAACATAGAATCGAACTATACAGAATATTTCATAATCGTCTGGTTTCTCTCTCTTCCAAATACTAACCTTCGTAGAAATATGCTGATTATGTACTGCATATACATATCGGTTGGCCGTATCTTGATGTGACAGAATCATTACTGTAGTGTTCAACATAGAAAAAGCAAGATTTGCTGTCTGTCTATTTCTTCCATAATTGGTAATCCCAATGAATACGTCTGTCTTTACGTTTATGGATTACTAGATGAAAATGATGTACTGATAGCATTTTCAGTACCTTAAAAAAACGTTTCAAGAAATTACAAATCTGTCAAATGTTGAGTTCGAGTAGAAGCGTGTTAAGATTCTAGGGATCCAGGAGTTCTGTGTGACGATAAATATTTGCAGCTCTGGTGAATATCTTTCACGATCGTGTGTAGTCTGAGCGAGAAAACGCATTCTTACACTTCCCATTGACAATCACCACAATATCATCAGTGTCTATCTCATTGTAGTGAACATTATTGTTAGCACATGAAAATGAAGCGAGATTAGCCATTAGTTTGAAAATGTGATTTTCATTCAATCGATTTTCCTTCTAAGTCAGTATGAATAATGCTCAGTATAGAAATGATTTGCACTGAATAATCGATTGTGGATTTTCTGTTTGCTTGACTGTTGTTGACTATGTCATTCACTGGTACAATTTGCCGACGTTCTTTTGTTCAATAAGAATTGTTCACTCTGATAATTATTGGGACTAATTATAACACAATTCAATCTGTAAATGAGAGGATGAACTCGGATGCAATTGATTGGTCGATGCACTTGCATAACAAATCGCTCAAAAAGCGATCTTTTCACCTTCGAGTAGTATTTCCCACATGGGAAAATCTTAAAATCTATTGGTCCGTTGTATCTTTTAGTACGCTATTTTACAATGCTTCCCAAGGACAATTTTATGCCGTATATAAACGTTTGATTTCTTCCTGATGAGATTGCATGTGCAAGTATAAACAATGAGTGAATAGCTTACACCACTAATGTATCCACCAATATTTATGATGTCTGGGTCATTCGGATTAGCCATAATTACACAATATCGATAAGACTTGTTCTCTTAACAAATACACTTTCTTAACTAGTCTGCATTCTTTTTGGAATCAGTGAAGATGACTGACTGAATCCTATATGAAAACTTACAATCAGTGATCAATAAAAAATTTTCAGTCTGATAATTATTGGGACTAATTATAACACAATTCAATCTGTAAATGAGAGGATGAACTCGGATGCAATTGAGTGGTCGATGCACTTTGCATAACAAATCGTCATCGCGAGATTTGTGCATCGAAGAAATGGAGCCTGACTTGAAAAATCGATAGAGCACCAAGTACTTTTAAATTGCATCACTTTTCATATTAAATTATACAACCAAGTTAGATCACTGTCCTTATGTATGAATCTCTATATGGTTGGCATCATTGAAGTTTTATTTGCATAACTGACACGATCTCCAAAGAATGTTCAATCGATAACAGATTCATACTCATTAAATAATATTACTATTTTAGTACTCTACTCCTGTTACAATGATATACATAGATAGATAGATAGATAGATAGATGGATAGATGATAAGAAATTAATTATATGGTATGTATATGTGCCGACTGATCTCATACTGAATTAATGAAATTCCATCCAGAAAACTTTCAATCAAGTATAAACTACAAAATATTACGTGATAGTCAGTTCAGCTTAAAATAAGAAATAACTAACATTCAAAGAGGTATATTGAAGTAACTTTTATAACTTATATTTTCGAGCATGACACAAACGCATATGTTACAGTTTCAAGCTCACATACACATCAATATGACAGTTCAACAAAATAAATAAATTGTATACGGTAATGTGTAAGTTATGATGTGATTAAACTGTGAAGGATTTAAATTAAAATAGTTTGGTGAACACTAAATAAAGTAAATGATAGTTTGACACTTGAGTTGATAGTTGTATATGTATGCGGTTGATTAAACAACAATATGAGTAAACATAATTCAATGACGAATAAATACTCGTTAAGTAGCTGGAATTATCATAATTTTCTTTGATTCAATTTCAATGTTTAGGTGTGCGCCATACTAAATAACACTTTTCTTTCAATCGAAATTGTAAAGATTGTTCAGGTAAATGTGAATATGATATCCAATATGAGCCATCGATTATAACAACATGCCATGAAGGGTCAAATGTCTTATCAAGCCATTGTTTTATCATTTGTGTCGTATCTTGAACTGATAAGTTTTTATCTAACAATGATCGAACAAATTCAAATATTTGAAATTGATCTTCTGATGACATATTTTGTGAGATTATTTGTAAATCTTTCGGCAGTGGTCGATTATTGATAACACTCTTCCGAAGAGTACGTCTGAAAAAAATGATAAAATGATGAATTATAATTTCTACTTGTTTGACAGATAGTATTTTGTCGTCTGAAAGAACGAATCCTGGACCTGTTCTGTCAATATATGAGGCCCTACCTTCCAAGATCAAATATGACATAGATTTAAGATTTATTAGGCAATAAGTTTCCATTTGATACTTAACCCAGTAATATATTTGTGGCTCATATTAAATTATCCTCCACATGAAAATCCTGTCGATGAGTGCACATGGTAGGTTTAAGCTTTGACTCCATGTTTAGGGGATTTCTAACACAACTCAATATTAGTCTGAAAAGCAGTTGAGTAAACATGAGGGATAAGTTGACACAACGCTATGAGCGAAGACGTTTTTAAGATGATAAATGGCACTTTTTGGTTTATATTTTAATATTATTTTCTCTATAGCATCAATTTCTCAAATTGTATTTAGGTGGCATACAGTTTTCCGGCTTTAAGTTTATGCTGCTTTCACTTCTGATCAGTTAACTGGCGGTGGTTAGACTTAGTTAATTTTGAACATGTTTATGGACTTGCATTTTATGTCATGTTACATGTGTTGTCCACGAATTTCATCTGGACTTAATAAAAAATGAGAAATATTCTCATAACTAAATGTACTACACACAGAATCAAACATTTCAAATAACTAGTTCAATATATTTTAAACAGTATCGCTTCCAGTTAATTCATGTTAAAACTAGACGTAATCAAATCCAAAATGACTACACTTACGCTTGTTCCGGTTTGACACCGAGGACATCACAAAATTTTTGAAATGTTATAATACCACTATTTGTTGGATCGAATAATGATTGCCATCTCTGTATGATGAAAATTACGGTAGATAAGAAATATATACGAATAATCATGAAAATTTATAAAATAATTACATTATGTACAAAAACAAATTTTGTTTTTAAAATAAAACATGCCTTTTAACATGGTTGAAGTGCTTTTTGTCTTAGTTTTTCCTATTTACACTTTCCCATGAACAACCTAATGAGTACTTTTTATTGGAATTCGTTAATAGATAAACATACCATCAAGTCCATACTTACTTACTTACGCCTGTTATCCCTCGTGGGGGAGCATAGACCACTCACCAGCATTCTTCATCCAACTCTGTCCTGGGCAATCCTTTCCAGTTCTTCCCAGTTGTTATTCATCCTTTTCATATCTGCTTCTATTTCTCGGCGTAATGTGTTCTTTGACCTTCCTCTTTTCCACTTCCCTTTCGGATTCCAAGTTAGGGTTTGCCTTGTAATGCACATTGGTGATTTCCATACATTCATATAATGATAATCATAGATGTTCACGAATTTCATTTATTGTAATATGGTTAGCGAGCACACAAATGGGTTTAATGGAATGTATTAGAACACACAATTACAGAACGTCTTAGTAAAATCTGAGGATTATAGAGTAAATACTTATTTTGTAAAAATCTCAAACTTGATTGTTTCTTTTGTAAATATCAGTCAACCGTTTCAGACTTCATTGTTCTTTTGTCTTCACACCAATCACTCTGTGTTCTCATTCTCTTTTCTTTGATGTTCTTAACATTCGGCCTCCATGCATTCCACTTATGATGGGTGATACATACTACTTATATCTGTCGACATCAGTCGCACACACCATAGTAATACATATTATTTTTCTTATTATATATGATGTTGTTCAAAAATTTTAGTAACAGAAATGTTCGATACAATGTTTACATGAAAATGAATATGACGTCATAGTATCTGCCTTATCTGTTTTTAACTCTGAACCAATTCAATCATTTGTTAACACATGTTTCTGAGGTTAATTTCATTACTCCTCAGTCTTTAAATAACCTATTTTATACGTCAAAAAATAAAATACTAATAAGACATTGTTTATATCAAGACACTTTTACCGCCTGTTTTATACATAAAATGCAATATACCTAAAAGCATAAGTTTTTGCCATATGTTGAATAGCCAAGATGAATAAGTATGTCAGTCTTAAGAGAATGTTTATAATATGATTATTATTTCTAATTATTTTGCAATAGGATAAACATTACGTAATAAAATTTAAGATGAATATTTAGTTTCAAAACTGACTAAACTATATTGGTTAATCTAGCCACCTTAAGTGAGTTTAGCAGTACTTCTTCAAACAGTTTGTTTCTTAGCAAATCTGTAGTGATTCATCGAAAACGTTACCACAGCTTTTTCTAGTTGTCACCCTCTTTTAGGGATAAAAAGATTATGACACTACTATATACTTTAAATTATTCCTCTTTTTATACATTAAACCTTATTCTAAATGAGGTTATAATTCTGATGTTTTGAATTTATGAAAATAAAACGTTAAAAAACCTCATGAACCTCCATATATATATATATATATATATATCGTTGCAAACAACAATAACGATGTACATTGTGCTGTAAGAATTGTTTTTTCAACACTCCATGTTGTCAAAACATGTAGCAAGACCTATGTAACTAAACTACCTTGCACACTGAGTTTAACATTTGCATGTTACGCTTAAGTACATTCTATTCTTGGTAAAAATGTCCGAGTTGTAGTCTAGAAATATTCAATCATATTACTATCCATGTAAACTACTATGGGCTGAGAATACCATTTAATATCTTTAGAAATCTATCACTTCAAAAATCTATTCTGCAACGTTATATAGTACTACCGACTGCAATATGTTCTACTATTCTAAGGATATAACTTGGACTAGTTTCTTGACAATTTAAAAAGTAAGTCTTTTCAAAACATTAATTACAAACACAGCAACCTTTTAAAAAAACAAATTACCAACCGTTATCATCCCTTCATCTAAATGATTATGTTTTACATAACGTCTCAGTTCATCTCTTGTAATTGTTTCATTCTGTTGCTCATCTATAGCAAAAAAAATATTAACAAATGGTTCCATTGAAGTCCGAAATTTGCATCAAATGTAGATAATAGCTATATATATATATATTAATATGATTATGAATGCTTTCACTGATTCGTAACTTATGTTCTCTCGATTATCGATTAGCTTGTAACATACTTAACATTTAAATAGTATCTACACATGAATGTAATATTTGATAGAAATTTTAAAGTAACCAATTATGAAACATACATGTGCACATTACCTAATACTTTTGTTCAATCATTGTACTTAAATCTTAATCATAAGAATGAAATGATAGAAATGGGTATTCAAAGGGAGATTTGTCATTAACTAACCCTATTTTTCTCTATAAGAAATTTATTTTATTTTGATATGAACATGTTTGTCAAGTGGGAAAACTTTTATACACGAAATTCAAAGGATTTCATTGTCAAATAATTTAGTTTGATAACGGGTTTTTTTCTTTTTATTTCTCAACAAGAAAATCCATTCAATATATGTTATAAGCAAATAGTCCCTTTGATAAACTTCGATTGTGTAATAGAAGACGAAGATTATAAGAACTATCTGATGATATATTAGCGCTATACATTTCGAACAATCTGACCACACATATACTTGTTAAGAACATTTATATATAAAAATAAAAAGTCAACTAGACTGGAAATGGGGGTAAGAATAGACAAGGATGATAATAATAATAATAATAATAATAATAATAATAATAATAATGTGAAAACATGGTAAGCAAAGATAGATAGTGGCTAGCAGTGGAATCCAGGACGCGTGTTTCGTCTTATTTTAGGACTCGTCAGCTGGATGTGCCTGAATCTCAGAGTTGATGTTCACTCTGGGACTCGAACCAAGTACCTTTCGCTTCAAACGCCACCGCGTTATCCACTAGGCCACTGGGTCCATCTTTGCTTACCGTGCTTGTGAATTAACGCTATATCGAGGCAATATGCACAGTATGCACATATGCCAATTAGAGACTGACTAGCTGCAGTCCTAACACATAGATGGGAAGATTTAAACAAACAATACTAAATGAATTTAATGTGAAACCTAATCACCCTGGTTAATAAGCATATATTACCAGGCTAAGTTAAAGGAGGGAACAAACTATTTTTGAATACACAAAGGGGTTTGAATTTTTGTATTGCTAAAGCTTCAATAAACCTTAGTATACGCTCTTTTACACGTTTAAACAACGCAACAAAGGCCGAGTTAAGATCAATCTTATGACCTGTTTCGATTATACGTTTGGCAATAGAGGATGATAACTCCGCCTGTAGCTCCTCCAGGGGCTACTGCCGGTCCCAAGCCCGGGTAAAGGAGGAGGGTTGGGCATGGAGTTAGCGACCCCATCCCGTAGAAAATCAACTCGCTAAAAAAACGCTAACCAGAAAAAATCATTCAAACCATTCAAACTCTGCCCTGGGAGTACAAGGAAAAATGACGTCTCATGATGAAAGCCGAGTTCCTTCGGAAGTCATGAGGCCGATGCACCTTCTTACAACCAGAGCGACAATTTTTATAGGTACATGGAATGTCCGGACAATGTGGGAGACCGGCAGAGTCTTCCAAATTTCTGCGGAAATGAGGAAATACAACCTGGAAGTGCTTGGAATCAGTGAAACACATTGAACGCAGGTTGGACAACAACGACTGCCTTCAGGAGAACTTCTGTTATACTCCGATCATGAAGAAGAAAATGCCCCACATACACAAGGAGTGGCACTGATGCTGTCTAGAAAAGCACAAAATGCACTTATAGGATGGGAATCTCATGGACCGAGGATCATCAAAGCCTCCTTCAAAACAAAGAGAGAGGGCATTACAATGAACATCATCCAATGCTATGCGCCGACCAACGACTACGATGAAGACGCTAAAAACCAATTCTACGATAGGCTGCAGTCAATCTTCGAGAAGTGCCCAACCAAGGACCTGACCATTCTGATGGGAGATTTCAATGCCAAGGTTGGAAAGGACAACACTGGATACGAAGACGTCATGGGACAACATGGACTGGGAGGAAGGAACGAAAACGGTGAGAGATTTGCAAACCTATGTGCCTTCAATAAACTGGTCATAGGTGGCACCATATTCCCACACAAAAACATACACAAAGCCACTTGGATTTCACCGAATCACACTACACAAAATCAAATCGACCATGTCTGCATCAACAAACAGTTCAGGAGGACGATGGAGTATGTAAGAACCAGAAGAGGAGCTGATATAGCATCCGATCACCATTTGCTGGTCGCCAAGATGAAACTAAAACTCAAGAAGCACTGGACAATGGCGCGGACAACATCACAAAAGTTTAACACGGCCTTTCTTCGAGATGCTGACAAACTCAACGAATTTAACATAGCCCTCAGCAACAGGTTCGAGGCCTTTCATGACCTACTCAATGGAGAGGGAACCACCATAGAGAGCAGCTGGAAAGGTATCAAGGAGGCAATCGTTTCAACATGTCAGGAGGTTCTGGGCCAAAAGAAGCACCATCACAAGGAATGGATCACTGTTGGTACACTGGATAAAATTGAAGCAAGGAGGAACAAGAAGGTAGCAATCAATATCAGCCGAACAAGAGCAGAAAAAGCCAAGGCACAAGCCGAATACACAGAGGCAAACAAGCAAGTGAAGAGGAGCATCAGGACCGACAAACGTAAATATGTGGAATATTTAGCGATGACAGCGGAAAAGGCTGCAAGAGAGGGAAACATGAGACAACTGTATGATACAACAAAGAAACTTGCTGGAAATTACCGTCAACCAGAAAGACCAGTGAAAAGCAAGGAAGGCAAAGTAATCACCAACATTGAAGAACAACGAAACAGGTGGGTAGAACACTTCAAGGAACTCTTGAATCGACCAGCTCTACTGAACCCACCCAACATCGAAGCAGCACCCACAGACCTCCCAATTGATATTGGCCCACCAACAATTGAAGAGATCAGCATGGCCATTAGACAAATCAAGAGTGGCAAAGCAGCGGGACCAGACAACATCCCGGCAGAGGCACTGAAAGCAAATGTAACAGCAACTGCCAAGATACTCCACATCCTCTTCGGTAAGATTTGGGACGAAGAACATGTACCAACAGACTGGAAAAAAGGACTTCTCATCAAGATACCAAAGAAAGGCGATCTGAGCAAGTGCGACAACTACAGGGGCATCACTCTCCTCTCAATACCAGGAAAAGTCTTCAACAGAGTATTGTTAAACAGGATGAAGGATTCCGTGGACGCTCAACTTCGAGATCAACAAGCTGGATTTCGTAAGGATAGATCGTGCACAGATCAAATCGCAACTCTACGTATCATTGTGGAACAATCAATCGAATGGAATTCATCACTGTACATCAACTTCATCGACTACGAGAAGGCATTTGATAGCGTGGACAGGACGACACTATGGAAGCTTCTTCGACACTACGGCGTGCCTGAGAAGATAGTCAACATCATACGGAACTCCTATGATGGACTAAACTGCCAAATCGTCCACGGAGGACAACTCACCGACTCGTTCGAGGTAAAGACCGGTGTTAGGCAAGGTTGCCTACTCTCACCCTTTCTCTTTCTCCTGGTGATCGACTGGATTATGAAGACGTCAACATCTGGAGGAATGCACGGGATACAGTGGACAGGCAGGATGCAGCTTGACGATTTAGACTTCGCGGATGATCTGGCTCTTCTATCACAAACGCAACAACAAATGCAGGAGAAAACGACCAGTGTAGCAGCAGCCTCAGCAGCAGTAGGTCTCAATATAAACAAAGGGAAAAGCAAGACTCTCCGATACAATACAATATGCACCAATCCATTTACACTTGACGGAGAAGCTTTGGAGGATGTGGAAATCTTTACATATCTGGGCAGCATCATTGATGAACACGGTGGATCAGATGCAGATGTGAGGGCGCGGATCGGCAAAGCAAGAGCAGCATACCTACAGCTGAAAAACATCTGGAGCTCAAAACAATTGTCAACCAACACCAAGGTTAGAATTTTCAATACAAATGTCAAGACAGTTCTTCTGTATGGGGCAGAGACGTGGAGAACTACGAAAGCCATTATCCAGAAGATACAAGTGTTTATTAACAGCTGTCTACGCAAGATACTTCGGATCGGATGGCCAGACACTATCAGCAACAAGTTACTGTGGGAGACAACAAACCAGATTCCAGCGGAGGAAGAAATCAGGAAGAAGCGCTGGAATTGGATTGGGCACACTTTGAGGAAATCACCCAATTGCGTCACAAGACAAGCCCTCACATGGAATCCTGAAGGTCGAAGGAGAAGAGGAAGACCAAAGAACACATTACGCCGAGAAATAGAGACAGACATGAGAAGAATGAACAAGAACTGGATAGAACTAGAAAAGAAGGCCCATGACAGTGTGAGTGGGTTGGAGAAAGCTGGTCGGCGGCCTATGCTCCATTGGGAGTAACAGGCGAAAGTAAGTAAGTAAGTAATAGAGGATGATGGATGTTTATCATCTACTCTTATTGGGTCATTTGATTCTATTTGTTTTTACAACCATTTTGTTACATGTTCACCCACCCTAATTTTCAGATCACGATTGCTCCTCCCCATGTATGAGTGACCATATACACATTTAAATTGGTAAACGTAGTGGAATGTAACACAATCGTCTTCATATTTTTTAGGTTTTGAATGAAGTACAGACCTCGTTCCTTTTTTGATAATGACCGCTGCACAATACGTTTTATTGATGACTGATTTAAGCCTTTGTTTCAATAAAAGGCTATTAGAATCACCTCTAAATGGTAAGGTGATGTAGACAGGCTTTTTCTTCACCAAGGCTACAGTAGGTCTCACTGTGCCATGAACTTTCCATCTATTGATAAATCTAGGTGGATAACCATTCCCCATTAATGTCTTGTTTAACAACTTAACATCATCATCGATAGCGTCGTTCAAGCTTGTTAAAAAAGTACCTTACCAAACCCTGTTTGTATTGCACAGGGCAATAACTATAGTAACTAAGGTATTGATCCGTCCACGTCGGTTTTCAAAAAATGGATCGTTTGATCGAGCCATCTTCTCGTCTATTTAGAAGTACATATAGGAAGGGAAGTTGGTCGTTCTTCTCCTCTGTTCTTAACAAGTATATG